GAGAACCTCAGGCAAAGGGGAACTGATAAAAGGACAGCAAGATTTGTGCAGCATGGTGCACTCTGCTATCCTGGATTCAAAGCTGCTGAGATCACACTGGATCCATGGGTGGTGACTGCCTATTTCTCTTTCTCATCTGCCTTTCTATTTTTCTTTCTCTTTTATTTCTCCTACATTCTACTTCTCATGTATATATTATAAGCTGCACTGAGAAGTATCCAGTTAATGACTGGATCTACGTGCCATGTTCAATGCCTGGCTAACAGTTTTATTCTGTCTCGATGCTTTAAAGTGTGCTAAGTTAAAGCTTGCACTGTGTTTGGATGCTTTAAAGTTTACTAAGTTAATGTTTGCCAAGTGCTTTGTTCTACCCGGATTATCCAAAATTTACAAGTAAAGATTACTTCTTATTAAACCTCCTGATAATTTTGTCATTTCTCCCTAAGTGTCACAAGATGTTGCAGACTAATATAAAGAGATCCAAAAGTGATTAGATTAATTTGTGCAAGACGCATTCATTGAGAGCTATCAGTCAAAAAGCTGTAAGAAGTCCTTCTGCCCAAGAAGTCCCTAAATGACAGCTTGCTGAAAGCTCTACTGGTATTCCAGAGGATTACCAGACCTATATCCAGACTTTGTGTAATGTCCCTAAAAAAGCTGCTTTTTATTTTGATGGAGACCCTTCACTCTCAGTGCTCAGCGCAGCCAGTCATGCATTCTTAAGGATTTTCAGGCAATTAGCTCAAGAAGAAACTGTTGTAGGGGTAGTGCTTAAGGACCATAAGAATTTAACTAATTTTCTAGATCTTCTGTGTGACAGATGCTAGGGGAAATCTTTGTACCTTTCATTTGTTGATGTCATCTGTGATTGCACTTTATGTTTGGGCATAAGAACTCATGTAGGCATGTATGTACGTATAGACACGCACACACCCCTCAGATTCTCTTTTTCTGTCCTGAATGAACAACTAGTGGATCCAAAATACACACAGCTCAGGCTGTAACAAATGATGAGATTAGAAAAGGAAGGAGAACATCCCAGATGGAGATAACCTAGCACAGAGACTTATGAAGGCAGATGCATCGCAGCCTGCATGACTTTCCATCCCTCATGTGGGGATCCCCATTTCCACATCGGTGTTCCTGTATCTTCTTCACTCACCCTGCCTAGCAGGAGGGGCACTATGCATGCATACCAACACAGCTGAAGGCTGGGACTGTCCATTGCAATTCCTGATCACAACAGTGGTTATCAAGAGTCAGTCTCCTGTGTAAGAAGCTGACCAGCAACAGAAGAATTTACTGCAAGATAGGCAGGAGAATCCCCACAAGGCTTTGGAGACAGAACAGAGTCCTTGGAGACTTCAGAGAGCAGACTGTGTGAAGGAATTGTTTTCCCAAAGATTATAAACTTTTCCTGCCTTCTTAAAATTTGTGTGTGCAAGAAATTCCTGTGGTTTCTGCACTTATTTGCACAGGATTCCTGAAAGAAGTGCAGCTCCAGAGAGACACTCAGAGAAGGATTTCTAAGAGGAAAAGCCTAAGCAGTGGGAATGAATGTGCCACCCACTCTCAAAAGGGTTCCACACTGTAATAGTCTGTACTGTTGGACACTGGTTGCATAGAGGGTGCAGGCTGGGAGATTGTAGAGCTGAAAGCAATCGTCCCTTCCAGCCCAACCTCAGGGGCCATGGTACTCAGTAATTAGAGCCCTTTGTGCCCGTCTGGGAAGCAGGATCATAAAACCTAGGATCATAAACAGCTTTGCTCCATTCAGTTATGACTGTTTTGTTTTAGAGGAGATGCTAAGGCTCTTGGAAAACTAGTATTGCCAAATACCTTATTGTGGCCTTGGCCCAGAGAAAAGATTCAGATTTTTTTTTTAAAATATTCTCCCTGATACTAATCTGCTTAAAATGCAGATGACTTTCTAGAAGTTGATCCCACCTGCAACAGGAGTGAGATCAGAATAACTGCTCGTTAAAAACTTCAAAATAGTGACACACAAGTTAGAAGCCATGAAGTGTTCTGTCATCAAAGCAACGGTGGGAGATAGAAATTAGTTTTGGAGCTCTGGGACAAAAATAGTGTGATTTGAGCTTTTTTTCCTAATGACTAAAGCCAAACCATAAATGACTGGCTGTATAAGCAGGAGTAGTGTCATTCACTGCAGAGAAATGGTGCAATGACAGCCTAGCAACCAATTTTTTGATGACTGTCCTTTGACAGCAAATTTCCTACTTACACAATGCTTGCTTGTCCCAGTCTATCAGAATACTTCGTGTTTTTCAGGCTCTGGCAGAAGTGAGAGCATGCTAAATGCTCCTTTTATTCTGCAGTTAAACAGGAGAAAAAAGCACATTAAAACATGCCATGATCTGTCAGAGACATATATTCCTATAGTGTAAACAGCCTTTTTTGCAGGAACTGTTCTAGCCTGTTCTTGAAAATATTTTCATTTCACACTTAAGCTGTTTCAGGTCCCCACCTGTAAAGCTTATAACGAAGATGTGTTGCTGACACCCAGAGGAACATAGGTATGAATGTAAATACATTGTACTAGTCTGTAGCTCTCATTCAGAATCTGTTTCTTTGTAAGGCATCTGTTTAAATTGAGATGTGAAAGTCTGTAATGCAATATTTCCTCTGTGAATAATCTACAAGGTAGAAGACACACTACAATGAATAACCAGTAACAGTGGGTTTTCCAGCAATCCAGTTTAATAGTTTCTTCATATGTCTGTGTTTATGCATCAAACAAATTTCAAACAAAACCAGAAAAAAAAAGTAATATACTATTCAAGAAAATACCCAAAGCTATTACAGTTTTGGCTTCCCCTTTGTTGATTTACAAATATGTACAAGACCCTCTTATTTGCAGTACCCAGTGAAGATGTAATGATTTATTTACATCAGCTGGTGCCTTTCACTGTGCAATGGAACTGCCTCCTTTTTCCATTTGCATTCATAGCTACAAGAGCCCACATTTACATGCTTTTTATGGATAGGATTAAGAGGTGAACTGAAACAAGGCAAGGTTCTCACTACTGACCACAAACATAGCTCTGAAATCCCATTTTCAGATACAGCTGAAGGAAGATCCCAGCATGTAGTGCACTGATATAACCATTGTATCAGTAGACATAATAAGGTATCTCGACTGAGAATAACATTCCCACTCACGTCAGAGTGAGATAAGCTGGAGGAATAATATATTTTAAGGTGCAGCAGACAAAATGTATAACTCTGGTGCTAAACATGCACCTTACTTTTCCTGTCAGAGACCTCCAAAGCAAATGAAGACATAAAATATGCTGTCTTTCTAAATGTGTGGAGAATATTTTAGATTTTTTTTTTTATACAGGAGACAAAATTAGGAGGGAAAAATTACAAACTTATAATATGCAAACTGTTTCATAGAATCACAGAATAGCCGTGTCCAATGAAGTTCTGAATATCTCTAAGGATGGATTTTGCACAACCACTGGGCCCCTGTTCCCATGTTTGACCCCCTTTATGATAAAAAGAATTTCCTAAAACCCAATCAGAACTTCCACTTTGAGGTTACAACCTAAGGCCCATGCAATAAATCATATTCCTTCTATTGATAACAAGAGTTTTAAGAGTATCTGTAAACCAAGTATAACAAGCATTATTCTTTCAGACTTCAAAAGCAATAGTTCTTTTCCAAGGGATTTTCTAATATTTAGTGAGTAGGATACCACCACTTGAAGTATTTTCATAGCTTAAATCACAGTGCACCATCCATAGGCATCAATAAATCAATGCCACCATTGCACTTCTTTCACCGGTGATAAATCCAATATTTTGTACATTACATAGCTGTTGCAGAACAGCATGTTTATGAAAGCACGACTAGATGCAAATTACTCACACAAAAGGCATGAGGGTTTCAGCTTAGAATCCTCTCAACAAAGACAAAAACTGTTTGTTTGGGGAGCAAAAGTCAGGAGTCTGTTAGAGCTACATGTGCCTGAGGTTTTGAAATCCATGTTTTGCCATTGCCTGCTATGCCTTCTGATTATCAAACTTGTTTTGTCTCTCACAGCTTGAAAGACGCAATCTACAGTACAGCTTCCTCCAGTAACAAAAGCTCTTCTCAGCTGAAATGCTCTTCTAATGTCTATACAAAGGCAGCCACTCACCCAGTCCTTCTGTCTCCACAAAATATTACGTGACCAGTATTTAGAGGCCATGTGCCCTTTATTTCCCTAGCCCTGGGAAATAAAGAAAACAGACAAACTAGAATCACCTCAGTCTTCATATTCAGCCTTAAAATCCACCTATGGTACATCTTAGTCCACAGTGGTAAGAACATATATAGTCATATATTACAAGGTACTGCATCCAGCCTGGAAAATCTCATGGTAACACTGGCCTCATACATATACATATTTTATGATACTAACAGTCATGATTGGAATACAAGACTGCTGATATGTGCATGTATACTGGTCATAACTTTTGAGCAGGGCATGTGAAGCTTGATAATTGGAGCTACTTCTCTGATTTTATGTCTTCAGAAAGAAACAACAACAAAAAAAAACCTGTTAATTTTGACCTTCAAAATAAGCCATGCTTATTTTTAGCTGAGAGACAAATAATGTCAAAATAAACATGCATTGAGAGACTGATGGGTTCATTCATGTGGCAGGTCTCACTCATTGCATTTAGCAGAAAGAAAAATAAGGCTTTCCCAGTATAATCCTCTTATAAAATCCAGTCTTCAGTAGGGCAAATAATATTCAAAATATTCTTTATCCCCATAACACAGACATGCTGAGTAGCTCCTACCACCAGCATGAGAGAGGTGTGTGGAGGGAAAGAAATGTAAAACCACATGTTAAAAAATAATTTTTGATTGCTGCAGAAATCATGACAGCTGAATGGAGACAATGTTCCATAGGCATTTCAACAGGATTACAGGATACGGCAAGATGTTGCATTTCCATTCTCTTCCCTGGTTTGGTTTTGTTTTCTTAATACTTGTTTGATAACCCACAGACCATTCTCAGGCTATAGCAACACATTATCTCTTTGAAGGTCTTCCTCATTTCCTGGCTACGGAAGGCGTAGATCAGGGGATCGATCACTGAGTTGCACATAATGAGAATGAGGTACATGTTGAAGTGAGACATGAAGCAAACACAGTAGAGGTTTTGAGGGCAGGAGATCATCAGGATGAGATGAAGGAAGAATGGAGCCCAGCAAACAATGAAGATGCCAAGAAGCATAGTCAGAGTGATGGCTCCTTTCATGCTGGTTCTTTGACGGACAGAGTTGTACCCTGGCAAAGCAGCAATTTTCTTCACATGAGTACGAGCCAGAAGGAACATGTGTATGTACAGCGAGACCATGAGAAACAACATGGCAAAAAACATAGTGATGAGACAAATGACCACATAAGTTGATTCATAATAAAGAATGAAGATAATGCCACAGCCTGTGCAAAAGGTCCAGATGCATGCAATAATAAGCCCTGATCTTTTCACTGTCATGATGTTGTGATAACGCAGGGCATAGAAGATAGTGATATACCTGTCTATTGCTATAGCCAGCAAACTGCACATGGAAGCCACCACAGATATGCAGATCATTGAATCAAAGATATTGTCTATATGACGGACAAAGGCATCTTCCATAATGATGTGTCTATTGTTTATTAAGTATATCGTTATGGTCTCCCAAGCATTAGACACACTAACTAGCATGTCAGCCACTGCTAAACTGCAAACAAAAAAATACATGGGTGAATGCAAGTTCTTGTTCTTAACTATTGCACATATAACTAAGATGTTTTCAAGGAGGCTTACAATGCCCAGGATTAGGAATACTTCAGTTGCAATGGCCACTTGCTCACATGGTGATGACTTGCTCTTGACAGTAGGCAAAGTAAAGTTGCTACCAAAGACACTCAGGTTTAGTTCAGAAACATACAGCCGAGAGGATGTGTTCATCTCTGGAAGCTAACACGTTCTGTTCTTTCCGAGGGGCTTGCCAAGGGGTGTAGTAAATACATTTTCCAAAAGGCAAAAGATCCTGCCAAACAAAAACATATAGCATGACGAGTACAGGCAGAAGTTATCACACATTTCTATTTAATTTTGCTTGTACATGCCCTGCCTCTTCCACACCATACTCCTCTACCGAATCTAAAATAACCTCTAGTTACCTCAGAGATTTTCTGCCCATCATGCCTGGGAAATTAAAACACAAACTAAGATATTCATGCACTCTTCATTCATAGTTTTGTTTGTTCTACCTGGTCCCTTGGAATACTTCCCCAGAATGTCCTGAAAATTCTGTTGAAAAACAAACAACAAATACTTTTCACAGTCCCAACTCTCAGACCCCAGAAATGCAGGACAATGTAGTATTAGCTCCGGCAGAAACTGCTGATTTGAATACAATATATAGAAGTTTGAACTGTTGCCACAATTAAGAATTAAACATTTTCAGTACAAGATTTAAATGCTTTCCTAACCTTTGTACTTTTAAGTTTGCATGAACTGTATTATAAATAGCTTATCAGTACCATACTAACATGCTCATGTAAAAACATGGTATTAAATTCCTAACCAAGGCAAATGCATACATTTCAGGATACACTAAGGTTATAGAATCAGTTTGGGTGGAATTCTGTTATGAATTAATTTTTCTATTCCAGATCCTGAATATTTTTTTCAATGCCTTTTAGGTATTGACAATATTCAGGGCAAATTGTAAGCCATTGGATACTTAATAAGGGGAACACTTAAACTGATTGTCAGTGACTTGTTGCAAATAAAATTCAAAGCATACCATGCTAAACAATTTTCAAAGTAGCCTTTTAATGGCAATCGAGAATTAACTGTACCTATTTACCAGAGCTTCTCCTTCAGCTGCTCTTCCTCTTCATCGCCTGCAACCTTTCCTCCAGAGATCTGAAGTTTCAGCCCCCCTCCTCTTCCGACATCTGGGGCTGGGGACTCCTTGGTGGGAATAGATGAAAAAAAATAAAGGGAAAGAAATGAGCAAATCCATAGAGTCAAGGCTGACCACGTATAAATTACTTACTCTGCAACTGCCTTTTTATAGACTCCAAGCAATAATGACTTCAGTACTCCAACTGTGGCTCCTCCTCCCCTTCTTTGTCCCTCTGGATTTCTCTTTCCACGGATCTTGTAGCAAAGGCTTGGGTTTTTACCACCATCTAGTGGTCTTCTCCTGTCTTTCTAACTGAACAGTGATTCTGATATGAAATTCATTATGAGTTTTCTATAATACTAAAGGGGAAAATGCACTAGACATGCTCCTTTCCAAAAACAATTTTTTTTTTTTTTTTTTTTTTTTTTTGTTTTCTTTGCTGTTGCTAGGACGTTGACAATAAGTTCATGCTGCAACAGTACAACCTCAACAGAAGTGAGAACAGAAGACTGTTATTGAAGTGGGAGACTTATTACTGTTATAAGCATTTGTCTTATATTCAGTTGGGTTTTTCTCAGAAATAAGAACCCCACTGTTACAAAATTCAGTGAAAGTACAGTCAAACCCATCATGCCACTAAAATAAAATATATTCAAATAAGTTGTATGAGAAAAAAATAGAACAAATAAATGGCTGTGTTCTGTGCCCCTTGCTAGAACAGATATTTCAATGTAGAAATGGAAGGAGCACACAGTGCATCATGCCAGGAGCCAGGGCTTCCCGAGATTTATATGAATTCCCTCAGGTTTCATGGGACCTAAGAAGTGTTAAACTCAGCACTCCAGTGGAGTGCTTCACCCACAGTATTCCAGTGGGTGAAGTTCATCTGTGGGTCCAGCAATCAGGCAGATAATGCTCCTTCTGGGCCTTACCTAAAAGGTGGTAAAATCAGTGCAACTCTTTTCTTTAGCAAATGGTCTCTGCTTCTGCATGCAGACTGGGGAATGCAAATCACCACCTTCCTGGCACTGCCAAATGCCCTTTATATTAGCTGCTATCAGCCAGTCAAATACCATGCAGGATTTGAAGTTAACTTGAGATAAGAAGCCTCTGCTTCTCCAAATCACTGCTTTTCCACAAATTAGGGGGTTGAGGGGGTTTTGTTGCATATAACAGCTTCAAATTCTTCTTTTTAACCAATATATCTTTCTTAAAGAATCGCCACCTACAAACACTAACTTTATTGCTATATCCTGTGCCATCTTTGTGTTTTCAGTGTTCAGATAAAGTTTACCATTAAAATGCACATAAATCCCCATTTCTAATTGCTATATTCCACAGGAAGTTTCTCTATTGTTACCACTGGCTTCACTCTAGGGGTACTGAAACACCTGAGCCAATGTATGAAATATTCTTATGTACAAACAGTCTGCGCACTGAAGGAGACAGTGAAGAGCATTTTCATTCATTTGAGTAAAATGGCTCCTCTAGCATTATGCAGCTATAATTAGGAGGTGAACTATGCATATCCCCTCTCCCCAATAGGGGAAAGAGAATTTAAATTGTCACAAGCTAGAAGTAGCAACTGTATTCAAGTGCAGTGAAAATCTTAAATCTGAGTGGATAATGCCAGTGAGCAAACACACACTCTCCCTGCTGTATCTCACTTACGTGCCAATTCCAAGCTCATAGTTCTTTGTTATGCCCAAAATAAAAGAATATGGAATGGTCATCTGCCGTTCTCTTTCTGGTCTTTAATGTAAAGTATGTTTTAGCTTTTCTGGGTTGTCTTTAATTAACTTACCTTAGAAATCTTTGGTTATCTTTTGCATAGCTTTTGATTTTCCCATTGCAGGCCCTGGAAATCAGATATCTAAAAGTAAAATTTTACTTCTTTCAGCATTCTTATATCTAGCAAGAATTGTGCAGTCACTGTGCTCTTTCCACTTCCAATTACTTTTCTTGTAGTATTCTATTTTCTTTGTTTATTACACTCTCTTTCTAAATTCTGCTCTTTTTTCTATTTACTAATTCCTCTGTATGTTCAATTTAACGAAGTTCTTTGTAGACCTGCTTAGCTGCCTTTGCAAAAGTTCTCAATGTACCTGGTAGGACTCAGAAGACTAGCCAATTACAAGAAAGAGATCACACATCAAACTGGATTTTGCTGTTATTCCTTAGAGCAATGCCAAGTGTCTCACATATAAATTATGAATCAGCCTTTGGATTCTTGTTCCACAGGCCAGACGCTGTAGACATAAACATTGCTACAAGTGTGTATGCTAGACAAAGAAACTCCCTTATTTACAAACTTGCAGAAAAATTGCCTCCTCGGAAAATACTTCCCACTCCCCACCCAAAAGCCCCCCCTCAAAACCAAAGAGTTTTATTATCATATTGCTGCATTAAGCAGCTATAAACATTATAGCTTAACAAGCAAGTAACTGAAGGGACATCCAAGTATCAGTGCATGGAGGCATGCAGGTGAGTTATAAGGATTTTAAATGAAGAGGTATGGGAGCAGACCTTTGGGTTCTCTTGAAAGAATCCAAGAATGGCTTCATCTTGTCAACCAGTCCAGCTGGACCTCATCTTGTCATCTGGCTCATCCAGTCCAGCTGGAGGACTCCTGACTGAATAGGTTTGTCTTTCAGACATTTATGACCTAGGTGTTTAGTTTCCTTGATTGTTTAGTTAAATAAATTCTCTGACTCTACAGACAGGTTGGCACTGTGTTTCCTGAGGTCACAAAGATCATGACTGGACTGTCAGTATGGGCAAGTAGCACTTTTTGCATAGCAAAGCCTGTGTTGGGATTTAGCTATTTGGCTCTACTGACCCAGGCACTCTGAGGAACACACTGAAGCCTCTGTTTAGTTCTCAAACCACCATTTTCTTTCCACAGATGGAAAAAGGAAGAGAGATTGAACAGGAGGCTTAGGGTGCAGGTTCACAGGTCTCCCTGCAGCATAGAAACAAGGACAGTTGGGTCATTCGCCCGGATCTGCAGCCCTTGGCAGTGCTCCTGAGGTTCATGGTCATCCCAACAGTGACACTAAAATGTATCTTTAGGAAAATGTCTTTGTTCTACACTTCATGTATCACCTTACCTGGTGTAAGGAAAATGTTAAATGCTTAAAGTCCCTGTTCCACTGAACTCACCAATAAACTTCTTTGGGCTGCAGGAAAAAAGATCACAAGTGCTACAGAAAGACATCAGTGGACATAAGAAAGAAGTAAAATAGGATTTCAGCAGAGAAAGAGATGCCAAGCGCCTGATTCTACCCCATGCCATTTTTTTTCAATCATGAAGCAGTAAGCGAGGGCAGAAGCCACTCCAGACACCTATCTGCCTCTCAGGCTTCATCAGCAACCAGAGTGGGAACCATGACAATGTCACTGGCAGGATCAGCCAGCCACTGCCTGACAATAGCACCACCAGGGATCATGCCAGAGCTCCTCTTCACCCAGCATATCCACCGGAACAGACGCACAGGTTAAATTACATCATGTCAAAACCAGTAGGGAATTGCACGCCACCTTCATGACAGCAAGATACTGACTTTGTCAAGGAATGGATAAATCAGACCAATGATAGAATGTGCTCCCAAAGAAATTTCTGTGAGAAGAACTTGTTACACTCAGATACATACTGGTATTAATCTATGCTAATCTTAACAGGTTCAGAGAAGAGTGCTATTGATGCTAATACAAATCTACCCAACTTGTCTAGTGATAATACATTCAAGCAATTCAGTTCCAGTGACCTTCTGTAGGTATTTTTATCTCTTTGATTAAAATACATTTACTCTTCATAATGTAGCTTCGGATTGGTGCCCTTGGCCTATTTAAGAAATGCTTCTTCTGTCTGCTTCTTGCCTATGCTGTCATTAGCATAATATTTCAAAGGCAGAGGATACTCTCAGACTGCTGTAAGAGAAAACCCATAGATCACCAAAAGGGAAGATGATGACCTTCTCTGCATTTGTATCACATAACAAATGTCCTCTAACTTCTCAGACAAAGAAAACTGTTTCTCTTGACCTTTATGCCAAGTAGCCTTGTCTGAGTCCCATCAAGGTCTCCACTGTTACCTCCCCAGCATTACCAGTCAGTTAGCCTTTAATGAAGACGGGCAATTAAGCAAGATTTAAAACAAAACAAAAAAACCCCACCAATACTTCTTGTCCTTAATAAAACAGCTGGATGAAGTGCTGATAGACTGTTGTTAGTTCAGTCTCCTTGCCTGTCCAGAAGACAGCTGAAAGCACAAAACTTTGGATCAATTGGGAAATCAATTTCTAAAAGAGCTAAGATGGACTATGCAGTGGTTTCTCAAATGTATTACATTTCTTCATGCCATCTTTAATTGCTGACAAATAAAAACAAAAAATTGCTTGCCATCTACAGTCTTTCTTACTTTCTTTTGTTGAGCTCATCATTAATTGCAGCATGGAGGTCAATGACAGCTAAACATCACAGCCTTCAAAGCAGTGAAAACCTACACCTTTGAAAAAGTGACCTTCTTGCTAATAAAAGATGCTGAATGCCTAACATGCACATCAAACTCTATGGCTAATTGAAAGCAGGGATTGAAATACTTGCATTTGAGGGATGAAAGACAGACACTTCAAACTTCTGGGGAAAAAATTAAAAGTTTAATCTTAACAAAAATTCAAACTAAATTTTTCCTGTGAGCCTGTATTTGCATTGCCAGCCTTCATGGTCTCCAGGGCTGACAGGCAGAAAGCTTGAACACTCTTCAAGAAAATTCTTAGGGAGTTAGGAGGGAAGATGCTGTTGTGTAGAACTTACAGCAGAACACCACCATGATAGGAGATCCTGTTCCACATGCCAATATAAGACATGTTGATGGAGCTGCAGTTTGATAGCACAAAAACATGACTCTCTAGTTCTAGAGACTGTGCTTGTAATCCTTGTACTCTCCCATGTCTTTTCTCCAGACAATAAATTTGCAGGCAGAGCAAGCTCACAGGCAAGAATTCAATGTCAAAGAAATAGATGAAACAAAAGGAGCCTCCTTTCCAGCAATGAGAAGGAAATGCACTTGGATAGTATACATCTCAATTTTAGGAACAGAATTAATATTGACCTGCAGGACCAGC